TTAAACTCCGTTGGGAAGTCCTGGTTGTTCGTTCACTTCTGAACTTTTGTCTTATTCCAGAAATACAGTTTTACTGGCACGCCTATTTTACAACTCTTTTTCGTATGCAGACTGTTGGTTTCTTGCCTCTCAAGCAGATGCACTCCGAATTAGAAGGGCACACAATAATTGGACGCCTTGTGCGACATACTTGTTAGTGGATCTATTCCTACAAATCTCCTTTTTGTGGAATGAGGCATACTGTGCTTATCATTTGCAGAGAACGTGACTCGTTTCCACAGCACCACTGCACATTCTATGTATGGTGAGAAAGAAGGAAAAGATTCCCTCCCCCTCCCTTTCCTAGCCTTTTTCTGATACGTATTAGTAGTAAAGTAAAGAACCCTTTTTAACACCTTCATGCGTATGGGGCATATAGGGCTGGACATTTTTTATAGACCAATCGGCAGTTGGTGGGTGATGTGGTCAAGATCACACCAGCCGACTTGACCTAAGAGGACTGCACCTGGTACCCACTCAAGGCTGGGTCGACCTGGGTTCCAAGGTCATTTTTGAAGAAAGCCCTGTTACGTCAGAACCCAAATCCACGAACTTCTGATCCTCAGGCTTGGATGCGTATTGGCAATGGTTTTATAGGACAAGTTGCATTTGACTGGTGGTATGATCCATATCACATTGGCCACATGTGCTTCCTAGAACACTTCCCTGTACCCATGTAGGGCGAGATCCACTCGGGAATGACTAAGTGTTTTTTTTTTATTTTTTTTAATGCATTAAAAAAAAAAATGTTACCATCATTTTTTTTAAAGCCTGTATGGTTCTTCCATGTCAAGACGTCAAGCTATACCACATCTTCTCTCTCGGTCTACCTCTGCTTCTTTTCACGTGCAACTTTCCCACCATCACGATGCACTTTAATTTACTCTTTCTCGTGCAAATATCAAAGAATATAGATTGTCTCCTTCCAATGTGGGCAATCAGTTGATTGTCTCCTTCCAGTGTGGGCAATTAGTAGATTACCTCCTTTCAATGCGAGTAATCAATTGATTGTCTCCTTTCAATGTGGGCAATCAGCTGAGTGTCTTATTCCAATGTGGACAATCAGTTAATTATCTTTTTTCAATGCTGGCAATCAGCAGATTGTCTTCTTTTCAATGTGGGTAATCAATTGATTGTTTCCTTTCAATGTGGGCAATCAGTTTATTGTTTCCTTTTTAATGTGGGTAATAAGTTGAATGTCTCCTTCCAGTGTGGGCAATTAGTTGATTATCTCATTTCAATGTGGGCAATGAGTAAACTGTCTCCTTTCAATAAGGGCATTCAGTTGATTATCTCCTTTCAGTGTGGGCAATCAGTAGATTGTCTCCTTTCAATGTGGGCACTCCGTTGATTGTCTCCTTTCAATGTGGGCACTCCGTTGTCTCCTTTCAATGCGGGCAATCAATAGATTGTCTCCTTTTACTGTGGGAAATATAGATTATCTACTTTCAGTGTGGACAATCAATTCTCTTCCCAAGACAGTTTCTTTCATGACATCTTTATAACTCTTTAAATTTATCCAGCCTGTTTTCATAATTCATAAAAAAAGCCACATCTACACTGCTTCAAAAATAATGATTCACTGTTTGTTTAACTGTCCGTGGCTCGTGTTATCATATTTGTTAATACATGGTTTAGGTTTAGACGAGGGACCAACATCAAGGCACAAGAGTAGCAGCCAATAAAGTGAAGCTGTCGGTTCACTCTCAGACAAGTTCGTAAGTTTTTCGCACTGTTATTCCCGGTTTTGTATTTGACCATTTCTGATTGTCCTATGCTCGACTTGCAAATGATTTGTTACCTGAAAAACTTGACTTGAGACTTGACTTAGTGTAGACGGGCAACTACTAATTTAACTTAATTTTAGTTTGTACGACGAATACCTTGATATAGTTTGATTCGCAAATGCGAAAAAGTATTGCCACTGGGTATGAAAAAATCCAGCTCATCAAAAAGCTGTCTATTTGGCTGTCGTTCTGTGATCCGTTAGGTATGTTTAGACGCCCTGTCTGCCATTGTTTGACTGCACATAGTCTAAACGCACAGGTGTCTCAGATCGGATCGGCTGAGCGACGTCAGATTGGTTGGTTGCATGTTAGTGCGTTCTGTAGTTAGCTCTGAATTTGTCTATAGTATTTAAACTGTGTAGAGATATATCGGTGTGTATCATTGCTCGAAGATATTTCATTTTATTAGTGAAGTGTCTGGCACGATGATGGTTGTTAATATATTGTTATTTGATGTTACGCTGATGTTACGCTGATTTGATGTTAAGTGAAATAAAGAGACGTCTATCTGACGTTTATGATCATTTGCTTGATTCAAGACAGAACTCGTTCGTACACGTGGTTTGCCTAGGTGAATGTAGTCATGTAGTTAGTTTGCTGTCATGTAACTTACCACTGAGATATCTCTTTTCTGGGTCCCGGTGATATATTCTAGGATCCCCGCGCAAAAAAACTCTTGTCTATTCCTTACTTTCCTGTTTTTGCTGTTCATCAGGAAACTACTACTTTTTGTCCTTATCACAATACTCCTCATTATCTCTCATACTTTTATGAGTTTTTCTGTTTCTTTCTTTCTTTCCGCCAGCACATTACCTCGTAGGTAATATGGTTAACATAACGCCGGTCGCCTTTACTTTGCTGGGACCTATTTTAGGCTGAGCGTACCTGCAAGTCAAGGTAATTTTTGAGTGTCTGAGACGCAACACTGTTTAAAAAGACCGTATGTAATAGAATACAGACTGTAAAGTCCTGGCTAGGACCCCCGAATCATAGTGTAATCATTCAGATATATAAACAAATACAAACAGTAGACTGCACTATATTTAAAAACTATGTGTTTCATCAGGGCAAAGAGTTTGTATTTTTGTCGGTATACTTGTGGACTAAATCTTACGTCTACCCTGGTGAAACAGACATTTTTTTTTTTAAACGTAGTTGATTTTGTAATTTAGTTAGAAGGATTCATTAGCTGGCTTCATTTTAATTAATTGTTACTGTAGTACTCACTTGACGAGATACAGCGAAGTACGCCAGGCAATAAATTGTGCAGTCTATTATTTGTCTTCTTTGTTCAAATTAAAATTAATTAATTTAAATACTGTTACCATGTCTGTCGTGTGGGTGATCATCTCCTTGCCCTGCGTGCATCATCTGTTCGGGATCCACAGTCAGAGGTCCCTGCAAACAGTGTCAAACTTCTGTGCTAACAATATATGCATGTATGATATCAATTACTAGCACAACAAAAAAAATCATTTTATAGAGAACATTTTACAAAATCACTCTGATGAAATCTAATTAGAAAGACTTAAGAATTTTGTTCGGCATCGACTCGCCTGTTGTGTTTGTATGCCTTGAAATGATGTTCTTACTGTTCAAAAAGCAATTTATATTAAATTACGGGACATAACCTCATCTGGTGAAACCATGCAATAGCCAAATGCTGCCTGAGTTGGTTTCAGACTTCATAAAGAGGACGTGCAGTAACAGGTAGAGTCAGAGGCAGAGATCTATAGACCAACATACAATCAGACAGCTGCTGGTATCGTCGAAACTGGAAATGCACTTACTGCTGGAGCTGGGGAAAGAGCGCTTATGGAAATGTCCTGAATGCTGTATTAGCGGTTCTTAGCCCACCCAGGGCCGTTCTGCGCTAGGATGACAAGCAAATTCATGAAGCTTTCTATGTTTTTATTTTTTTATTTACAGACTTAGAGCAATTATTTTATGATGGTCATTTGTAGGGATACATTTTATTACATTTGTATACTTTAAGTGTTAAAAAAATCATAGTTGTCATGGCAATAGCCGCCATCTTGTGAAAAAAACAATTTGTACTTAGAATCCTAAAATTTTAAAAACAAACATAGGTATTCAACAATAGATGATGGATCCATGATTTTATATTCTACTTAGAGGTACAGGTCTAGTTTATTTACTTTAAACATATTTTTAAATATTTTTCGTAGAATTTTAAAATGTAGGTTTATTGAAAAAGTAAAAACAATCTAGCATCATAAGACAATAATCAAATTTTAGAAAACAAAAACTTTCTAAAATCTACCCTTAGATAGACCAGTCCCTATAATATTGTTTATGGAGTATGCATACAAAATTTCATGTTTCTACTCCTTCATATTAGCTTAGGATTTAGGATTTCACACACAAAACAAACTAAAATATAGAGATTTGAGAAAACTGACTTTTAAACTTTTTTTTTATCTTAATAAAGTGCACGAGGTGGTGTCGTTAGTATTACCTTTTCAATGCTAAATTGTTTACAAATTACATACATTTTGTGTGTCATCTATTCTACGAATGCCGAACTTTACAAAAACAAACGCATTGAAAAAGTGATATTTTTGTCATAAATTGGGAAAAATGCCGTGTAGTGACCCCTTAATAGCACACGTATTTATCTTAAAAATAATATATCATCATTAAAATGTGTTGCAAATTATTTAAACTGTAGTTTATTTTGAGTATAAATCTAATTGATAAAAATAGCACAGACTGGACTCACGGACTTCACAACATCGTGGATTTCCGTTGACCTGTTTGGCCTTATCTAGAGACAACCGGGGCCCAACTGAAGTTAGCTCAACAATCTTCCCAGCGTCTTGTCCGTTAGATGACAATGCTTCGCCAGATTATAACATTACACCTTCAGTTCCAGAAAGCAATAACTTATGCCCAAGAGAGACAATAATGACAACATGGAACTAGTGGTTGTTATGTTTCCAAATTAACCCTGTTGGTTCCGTAGTCTCATTGGGAAAAAGGGCTTCTAAAAGATTGTATACAAACTTTTTTTTTTTTAGAAACAAATACATAGAAACCAGCAATCCCGATTAAACTGACTCTTAACACTGACTTAAATACTCACTGACTGACTGACTTATGACTGACTTAAACACTTCTTCTTCTTCTTCTTCTTCTTCTTCTTCTTCTTCTTCTTCTTCTTCTTCTTCTTCTTCTTCTTCTTCTTCTTCTTCTTTCTCTTCCATCTTGTACCTCATCAAAGTGTCGGGAGGATATGTAACATTTGTTTATGAGCTTTGTCAAGAGCCCTATTAGGACTGAGGTTAATTTCTGTAAGGCTGTTCTTAACGCCATCATTCCATGTTTTCAGAGGTCTTCCACTCGCTCTATACTCTTTGTGACGTTTTAGTGTGGCTTGCTGTGGCAGATAGTAACAGGGCATTCTTGTGAGGTGTAAAAACCGCTTTATTTGTTGTTCTTTGATAACCTCTAAGGCTGGCTTTATTCCTAGTATTCTTCTGATTTCGTAATCTGTTTTTCCTTGAAACTCCTGCAGCTCTTCTAAGGCATTTCATCTCTGTTGTCATAATTTATATTCATTAAAGGATGTAGTGTCCACGTTTGGTACTCATAGCATAGTGTTGGCCCAAAAAATGTTCTGATAAGATTCATTTTGGTACTCTGGGGTATCTGCTTGTGTGTCAACAGGGGAGATAGTTGCCCATTACTTGATAAGAATTAGCACATCTCGAGCTAATTTTAATGTCCAGTTGACTTAAACACTGACTCTCTTAAAAGAATCAGCTCAGAAAATGGGACTAGTTATCAATCAAGATGAAACATAATACATGATAATAACTAGACGGGGAAAGGATATAAACTCCGGCCACATACAAGTCGATAATATGAAAATCACACGAACAGAAACGTAAGTACTTCATTGAAAGCTTTAACTGCTCCAACTTGCTGAGAGAAGGAATACAATCTAGATTACAATCTTGGAATAAAGTATACTACGCCCTTTAACATCTAGAAAAGTCAAAATGTCTGTCTTGCAACACCAAGATCAAATTATATCAAATGTTGATAAGACCAGTCTTTTTATATGGCTCTGAAACGTGGAGCACAACTAAAAGAGATAAAGCCTTATTACAGGTTTTCGAAAACAGTCTTATGTTAGATCTTTGACCCATCAAAGATGCAAACAGCGGGGAATGGAGAGTGAGAAGCAACAACAAAATTCAAAATCTGTTTAAATCACCTGTGAGATCATCATGAGAGCTAATAGACTGAAATGTTTGATCACTATACACATGGGGGATGAAAGGTCGTAGACCATGAGGCAGACCATGAAAACCATGGAGAGATAATGTCCAGGCAGACCTGCAAACACTTGGTGTCACCAACTGGAAAGTAAAGGCCAACCAGAGAGATGAATGGAGGCGGATGATATCTGTAGCAATTAACCTCAAACGCTCGGAATGCTGAAAAGAAAAAAAAAATTAAAAGGCGATGTTCAAACACACAACATTTTCATAAGTACACGGACATATCCATCCATGTCTTGTTTGGGACCGAAGGAATCGTCGATAGCACCAGGTTCAGTTGAGTTTTTGAGGGATTATAAATGAACTGGAGTGATCCTACCTTGTCATCCTTTTTGTGATGGTCGTCATGAACACCATCCTCTCCATGAACTATGCTCTCCACATTTCCTGTCTGTACGTCCTTGGGTCTGCCTCCGTCTTTCTCTTCATGGACATGATGACCGCCGTGGATTGCCTCATCGGCGTTTTCTGGTGAGAACTGCTTGTCTTTAACGAACTCGGCGATCCTCCTAGATAGGGAATCGTGCACGTTACTTCCCACAACTTTGGGCTGGACATCCTCCATCTCTTGCTTTTCGACGGCTATTCTTTCTTGGGCATCCTGCACTCTTGCTTCCTCTTGCTCCCTGCAGAAAAAAAAACGAGGTATGTTTGTTTAATATTAAAGGAAGATTATCACGATAAGAAACAATATACTATCTATTATAAATATGGCATACGTGAACATAAACATAGACGTCAGTAGGGAATAGTCAAAACGTTCTATCCTGGTCATAGACACATCCAAGGAAACAGTATTTAGGAGTCATTAGAATCAAGAAGACAAAAGTAGCTCATGATTAGGAAGATCAGAGAGACAGCAGCAAGCAACAATGGACACTCTTTAGCCAACATTCAGACAAGTAGACGACTAGACGAACATTCAGTTTAAAGCCGGTAAACACAAAGAAGAAGAAGAAGAAGAAGAAGAAGAATCAGTCTAGAATCAGTTAGTGCAGTCACATACAGAACAAACTTAAGACAACGTACTGTTTTTTTGCTGTCATCTTCTTCTTCACATCCTCTTGTCAGGGGATATATAACGCTCTACTTCTGGCGGAGGAAGAAAAGGGGGGGGGGGGCGCTTTGTCTGCAGCCCCAAAAAGCTGATCACTCACTGGAATCATCCTAATCATCATCAATTTACATTTTTGTCGTTAAGCCATGTGGGGAGGAACAGTTTGTGATCCACTGCTAAATGGGTAGCAATGGTTATTTTCATTCCGTGTCTATATAGAAGCTCTTTAATATCATCAATCGATGTCCTCCTAGGGCGACCTCTTGCTTTCACATTAGTTATTTGCACGTGTAGTGCCTGCGTTGGTAAATTTTCTGACTGCACTCTTTCTAGATGACCAAACACTTTGATCTTCACTTTCTCAATGAAATTGCTGCATAGCATTATTTCCACAGTGCATGTCTGATTATTTGATTTTTTTTTAGGGAGGTTATTTTGTGGCCTCTGTACTGCATTTCATTTCACATGCGGTAATTTTACGTACACATTTTCAGCAGCCTCTGATACTGTCTACATCGGGCACTTGTAGCACAGTATTAGTATGAACATGCTGTTTATAATCTGTTTCCTGAGACACATACTTTAGTCTGACACGCACACTGACACGTACACAGAAAAACATATATGCACACACACACACACACAAACACATACAGGCACGCATACAGACATACACACATGCATTTAAAAAAAACGCATATAGACACACACCCATAGACACACCAACACACAGAGACATAAACATATACACTCGCAAGTAGACACACAAAGACATACACACAAAGTTATACAATTACCCATGTAAACGCTCATACGTACACAGAATCATAAACACACAAACAAGATTACACATGCCTTCATAACATACATATACGCATACATACATATCGTACACACTTTATTTAATTCTAAACTAGTTATGCAATACAGATTATTAACTACATTAACGGTGGCATATAATCACTGATAATTATAAAATGAAAGAGTTTAACGATAAATGAGATGAATGGGGGTGGGTGATATCTGCAGCAATTATCCTCAAGGCCTCAGAATGCTGAATAAAAAGAAGATATATATTTATGCAGGCATATCCTAGTAAAATAGGCAGTTACTCATTAATGAGATGGATTTTGTGTTTCAGTTAGACAGATTCATTTTAATGAAGTGTTACTGTAGCACTGATTTTCTTAATGGTAAATCTTGCCCCAACATGGGACGCTTTTGTTTGTGTTCAGTTACGTTATAGCCGGCTCTAATGTAACCTGCGGCGTCCGTGGCTAAGGCGTTGCGAGTCCGACTAGTGAGCCAGCATACCGCGATCGAAACCCACTGCAGGCTGCGTGGATTTTTGTCGTGGTATGGGACGTCGCAGGTCGACACAGCCTAAAATGGGTACCAGGATGAACTGTCCTGGGAAAGTGCTGACCACATTACCCACAGAGTGCTGATGGTCTGTAAAAATAGGGGACGCTCTGCCCATATGCCCGATGCGCCGAAAAGCGTGAAAAGGGATCTTTACTTTTTTTTTCTAATGTTACCTGGCGGTTGAATGGGTTGCTGGGACTTGTGGCAGGGTGATTCTCATCCGAATGGTGTCACCGGGTATTTATCGCTTGTTATGCGGTCCTGTTGGTGTCGCAGGTCACTCACTCATGCACCTGGGGAGTTATTGTAAGATATACCAGGCAATAAACCGAGCAATGTATTATCTGTGTTTTCTTTGTTCGAATTCACAATGGAATTGCTTTGGTTTTTCAAACGCAGACTTGCTATAAGACTCTATAATTGGATATTTATAAATAAAAGTGGTACTTGATGCTGGTGGCGTTCTCGGCTCCAGCGTGGTGGTCGCCGTGTCCATCGTCGCCGTGTAAAACGTGCTCCGGTTCTAGCACTCCAATGTCGTGGCCAGCTGTGGAAGCAACATATAATATATACAAGGTCAGACAATTACGTAATGAGATTAATTTTATTATGGCGACGACAAAAATGCATCTATGAAGTATGAAATCTAAAGAGGCAACATTTGTCTATGATCTAGCAACATTTCTTCACCGCTGGATAAGCAGACACACAAACAAGCCACCATTTTGTTGACCTAGTCAGAGGTGTATTGTTACGTAACCAGAACGGAGCAAATAAGTAAGAAGAAACTCCACAGGGGAGCATGTACAGCAGGAGTCTACCAATCGTCACTAGAAGTAACCTCTCGTCGACAAATGTTTCGGCCCACGAGCTCCTAGACCTTTTTAGAGAGTGGGCCCACCTGAGTTCATGAGGCTCAGGGTTGGTTTCTCCTGCTGCACGTATTACCGGATGTTATCGGACAGGGACAAGACGAACTAGTGACTTTGCAAAAGGTACTGTGAGATAAGAAGTCGTTGGGGTAGCATAATTAAAGCTGTCTGCTTACCTGGACGACCAAGTAGCAAGCTTACGTTTGGTTTACCGGACACATGTTAGACTTTGTTGGCAGGTGGCAGAGGGACACTGGTAGACAATTGGGACACGATGGACTTTAAGGGATAAGATATTCTTTTCCAATAGACACCAGCGCCAGCTTACCGAGGCCCGTCCCCCACGACGTTCCGTTGTGTCCAGAGCCAGCTCGATGCTCTCTCAGCAGCTTCGCCCAGTTGTTTAAGTGTTCGTTCGCGTTCATTACCTGGTAGCCTAGTTGTTTAATCACATTGTAAAGTGAAGTGGAAACGAGACCTCGTGCGCCTACCTCGACGGCGAAGATTCTTACTGTGTACGCTTCATCTTTCCTCAGACCGGCCGCTAAGTCACTGTATTTCTCGAGCTTATACATATGGCTTTCGTCCATTCGCTACTCATACGGCTCGGCCAGCTCAATCAAGAAGAGTTGACGTTTCTTCGCAGAGTGGAGAACTATGTCGGGTCGCAGGCCAGTCTTCTGGATTAACTAAGGGTACTTTTCATGTCTGGGACTCTGGTTGTCAGTCAGGAAGAACTAGAGCTACATCTACGCAAGATGTACTCTGACAAAAAGAGGAGAGAGCCTCTCGATGACAATCCAGAGATCCTTAGCGGTCTTAAACAGCCTTCGGTGCCGAAGGTGCCATTTAAAATGGTACCTCCCCTTTGGTCTGAGGTTGAGGTCGTTGTGAAAAAGGCAAGTCTGCCCCAGGTCCGAACGGTGTTCCGTGCGTTTTTTACAAGCGTTGCCCGAAAATCCTAAAAATGCTTCACGTCTTGTTGAGACAAGCGTGGATCCGCAATCACATATGTCCAGAGTGGTCAAAGGCAAATGGGGTCTACATTCCCAAAGAGCAGGACTCGAAGAGTCTTTCCCAATTCAGGCCCATCTCGCTGTTGAATGTTGAGGGTAAGATATTCTTCTCAGTCATGGCTCGCCGGCTCACACAGTATCTGATGACTAACAAGTACATAGATACGAGTGTTCAGAAGGGTGGTATTCCAGGCGTTCCTGGGTGCCTTGAACACGCGACGATGATTTGGGAGGCTATCCAGAGAGCCAAGCATGAGAGAACCGATTTGCACGTTATATGGTTGGACTTAGCCAACGCCTACGGGGCAGTCCCCCATAGGCTACTGTGGCGAGCCCTTCGCATGTTTCAGATCAGTCAAATGATCGAGCAATATTTCTCTAAGTTCGCTTTGCGCTTCTCTACCTCGACGTTTACCACGAGGTGGACTGAGTTGCAGATTGGGATAGGTATGGGGTGTACGATCTCACCCATACTGTTTGTCATGGCTATGCAGATCATGTTAGACGGGGCGGCCGGCTACGGACTGGGCCTTCAAATAGGGGATCACTGGTTGCCGCCACTACGCGCATTTATGGATGACACGACTATTATAACGGGCAGCGAGGAGTCTGCCCGCACGATCCTGAAAAGATTGGACGCGGTGGTCCAATGGAGCGGTATGCAGTTCAAACCGCAGAAGTCGAGGAGTCAGTCAATCCATAAAGGCAGGGTGTCGGCGACCAGTTTTACGGTGGCAAGGAATAAGATCCCTACGGTTCTGGAGGAACCGGTGAAGAGCCTCGGTCGCGTTTACGATTCGAAGTTATCTGATAGAGCGGAGGTCCGGCGAATACACGAGTCACTGGCTACAGGCCTGCTCGCGATCGAGCGATGCAGGCTGATCGGAAAATTCAAGGTATGGTGTCTCCAATTCATGTTGATTCCAAAGCTTCTATGGCCACTGCTAGTCTACGAGGTGACGATGACTGCAGTGGAAACCATGGAAAAGAAAATCAACACAGCCTTAAGAAAGTGGATTGGTGCACCGCCTTGTCTGACCGACGTGGCTCTGTATTGTAAGCAGGCTAAGCTGGTACTTCCGTTCAAATCGATAACTGAAGAGTTTAAAGTCGGCAAGGTAAGACTCGCCATGCTTTTGCGCGAGTCTTCAGACCCAAATGTCATCGCTGTCCAGCCCGCTCTAAAGACTGGTACCAAGTGGAGAGTCCTCGATGCGATAGAATCTGCCCAGAATGCACTAAAATTGAGAGAGATAATGGGATACACACAAACCGACCGTCGAGGCCTAGGGCACGGGAAGGTCAATTGGTGGTCAAAGGCCTCAGCCAAAGAGCGCCGAGACATGGTAATACAAACGGTGAGGGACAACGAAAACGAGGTTCGGGTCCAGAAAGCAGCCCAGCAGTCGCAGCAGGGCCATTGGGTCAGCCTGGAGAGCGCATTGCCAAGAATACTCACATGGGGTGAGATCTGGCGGATGACCCCGCTGCGACTGAGCTTTATCGTTCGCTCGGCGTACGATGTATTACCGTCCGGTGTTAACATGGTTAAATGGTCTGCGACCAACGATCCGACTTGTCCGTTGTGTAAATCGAAGCAAACTCTTGAGCACGTCCTGTCCGCGTGCAGGAAAGCCCTAGGTCAAGGCCGATACACATGGCGACACAACAAGGTGCTAAAAGAGTTAGCAGCCGTTGTCGACCAGGCTAGAATGAGGGCTAACGCCAGAGCCAGTTCTAGCATCGTCCCCATTCGTTTCCTCAAGGCTGGTCAGGTTCCAAAAGGTAAGGTCAACCAAAACGCATTCGCTTCATCTGTGCTAGACTCTGCGAGGGACTGGTTACTGGCGGTTGATCTGCCAGGCCATGAACGGTACCCCGAGTTGATCCGTAAGACCGGCCTGCGACCGGACATCGTTCTCCATTCTGCGCAAAAACGGCAGCTCATCCTGATCGAGCTGACGGTCCCGTTTGAGTCGCGTATGGAGGAGAATCATTTGTACAAGCTCGAGAAGTACAGTGATTTAGCAGCCGGTCTGAGGAAAAACGAGGCTTACACAGTACGGGTATTTGCCGTCGAAGTGGGAGCGAGAGGCCTCGTTTCCACTTCGCTCTACAATGTGGTGAAAGAACTAGGATTGCGCGGTAATGAACGGAAACGAACACTAAAAAAACTGGGAGAGGCAGCCGAAAGGGCCTCTAGCTGGCTTTGGACGCAGCGCAACAACGTAGGGGACGGGCCTCGGTGAGCTGGTCCGGGTGTCTAGTGGAAAAGAGTTTCTCATCCCTTTGAAAGTCCATCGTGTCCGAATTGTCTGCCAGTGTTCCTCTGCCAACTGCTAATAAAAGTTCAACATGTGTCCGGTAAACCAAAGTAAGCTTGTCGCTCGGTCGTCCAGGCACGCTGACTGTTCTAATTAGGCTGCCGTGGCGGCTTCTTATCTCACAGTACCTCCTTCGAAACCACCAAGTCGTCTTGTCTCTGGCCGAAAGTAAAACACCATCCGGTAATTCCGTGCAGCGGGGAACCAGCCCTGAGCTTCATGAACTCAGGAGGGCCCACCTCCGAATGCGTCTAGGAATCGTGGGCCGAAACGCGTGTCGACGAGGATAATTTTTCTACTGACGACTGGTAGATCCCCGCTGTACTTGCTCCCAGTGAGTTTATTCCTATGACCAGGCAGGTCAACCGCCAGTAACCAGTCCCTCGCACAGTCTAGCATCGATGGAACGTTTGCGACTTTGTTGTATTTACTTTCATAAATCTGCCTAGCCTTAAGGAAGCGCACGGGCATGACGGTAGGACTGGCCCTTGCATTGGCCCTCTTCCTAGCTTAGTCCACAAAGACTGCTAACTCTTTCAGCACCTTATTGTGACGCTAAGTATACCTGCCTTGACCTAGGGCTTTTCTGTACGCGGACAGAACGTGCTCAAGCGTCTGTTTAGCTCTGCTTAGCGGGCATGTTGGGTCGTTAGCCGCACTCCACTTTACCATGTTGACACCGGACGGTAATACATCGTAGGCAGATCGAACGATAAAGCTCAGTCGCAGCGGGGTCATTCGCCAGATCTCACCCCATGTGAGTACTCTTGGCAAGGCGCTCTCCAGGCTGATCCAATGGCCCTGCTGCGACTGTTGGACTGCTTTCTGAACACGGACCTCGTTTTCGTTGTCTCTGATCTCAGCTCATTGGCTGTGGCCTTGGAACACCAACTGACTTTCCCGTGTCCTAGGCCTCGACGGTCGGTTTGAGTAAACCATGACCTCCCTTAATTTTAGTGCATTCTGGGCAGATTCGATCAGATCTAGGACCTTTTACTTGACGCCAGTCCTTAGAGCGGCCTTGACAGCGGTGACATTTGCGTCTGAAGACTCACGCAAGAGCATGGTGAGTCTTACTGTGCCGACTTTAAACTCTTCGGTTATTGATTTGAACGGGAGTAACAGCTTAGCCTGTTTACAGTACAGAGCCACATCAGTCAGACAAGGCGATGCACCTAACCACTTCCTCATGGATGTGTTGATTATTCGCTCCATCGTCTCCACTGCAGTCATCGTCACTTCGTAGACTAGCAGCGGCCAAGGAGCTTTTGAATCAACATAAATTGGAGACACCAAACCTTGAACTTTCCGATCAGCCTGCTTTGCTTAATCGCGAGCAGGTCTGTAGCCAGTGACTCGTGTATTCGCCTGACCTCCGTTCTATCAGATAACTTCGAATCGTAAACGCGACCAAGGCTCTTCACCGGTTCCTCTAGAACCATGGAGATCCGATTCCTTGCCATCGTAAAACTGATTACCGCTACCTTACCTTTAAGGATTGACAGACTCCTCGACTTCTGCTGTTTGAATTGCATACCGCTCCAATGGACCACCTCATCCAATCTTTTCAGAATCGTGCGGGCAGATTCCTCGCTGCCTGAGATTATAGTCGTGTCATACATAAATGCACGCAGTGGCGGCATCCAGTGGTCCCCAGTCTGAAGGCCCTGTCCGTAGCCGGCCGCTTCTTCTAACATGACCTGCATAGCCATGATGAACAGTATTGGCGAGATCGTACACCCCATAGCTATCCCAGCTTGGAGCTCAGTCCATCACGTAGTAAACGTCGAGGTAGAAAAGCGCAAAGCGAACTTAGGGAAATATTGCTTGATCATTTTGTTGATCTGTGTCGGTAGCCTATGGGAAACTGCCCCATAGGCGTTGGCGAGGTCCAACCATATCACGAGCAACGGAGTTCTCTCATGTCTGGCCCTCTGGATAGACTCTCAGATCATGGTCACGTGTTCAAGGCACTCAGGGACTCCCGGGATTCCACCTTTCTGAACACTCGTATCAATGTACTTGTTCGCCAGCAGATACTATGTGAGCCGGCGAGCCATAACCGAGAAGAATATTTTGCTATCAACGTTCAACAGCGAAATAGGCCTGAATTGGGAAAGACTCTTCGAGTCTAGCTCTTTGGGAATGTAGACCTCGTTGGCCCGTTGGCCACTCCGAAAATATGTGCTTTCGACTCCACGCTTGTCTCAACAAGTGGTGAAGCATTCTTAGGACTTTCGGACAACGTTTGTACAGGACGTTCGGAACACCATTCGGACCTGAGGCAGACTTGCCGCTAGCTCTTTTAACAACTTCCTCGACCTGAGGCCAAGACGGAGGTATCACTTTAAATGATACCTTCGGCAATTCAGGCTGCTTAAGGCCTCTAAGGATCTCTGGATTGTTATCGAGAGGCTCATTCCTGTTTTTGTCTGAGTACATTTTGCTTAAATGTTACTCGAGCTCTTCTTTACTGACCACCAAAGTCCCAGTCTTCGGTTGCTCGAATAGACCTCAAGCAAACTGGAACGGGTCCCTTAAGAATTTCTCTCGCTCCCTTTTGGTTCTCCGTCTGTTATTACAGAAACGCTCAGCACGACAGAGGGCACTATGACTGTTTCTCAGGTGCAACCAGACCTCATGCAGCCCATCCCGTTCGCTGCCTTTAGCAGCTTTGAACCGTTTTCTGAGTGCGTTCTTGTCTGCCCGGTACTTTAGAATGTCTCTCTGTCTCCTCCTTGTATTCTGCTTGACGCCCGGCGGCGCCTTTTCGACTGTCCCGAACTCGCAAGAACAGTGCTCGTATTTTACACTACCGAACCTTGTAAGCTTATCACCTAACGACTTCTTTTTTAAATCATGATTTAATTTCTCACCACGACACCTTGTCGCTCGCAGGTGGGAACCTGATCTTTGAACGCACTTCTACAGGAATCATCAAATTTGAGCCTCCCCTGTCAACGTCATGGGCCTCTCCGGGCGAGTGGGGTATACCCAGCCCGTCGTTCCCTAACGACTCAGAAACTACCACAGGAGTAGTAGTTTTGCGACGGCGTTTGATACGTGGCGCACCCTCGCATTTCATCCTTCCGGCATGAGGTAATATTAATTTGTTTCTTTAACGCAGAAAAAGGGCCATTGACACAGCTGAATTGATGCAGCTAGTTAATGAGGATAATTAAATATCTCGTGCACACATTTTCTGGTGGTATTCACGATTCAAAAAGTGGTGTGGAAATTATTACTAATACACCTAGCCATGGAGGTTTTGTTCGTAATGATAAACTCATTGCAAAAGTCAGAGACTTGATACAAAGAGATCATCATTAAAACAAGAATGTGTGGCCCCAAAACAAGTGTGTGTTCTCAGCCTTCAACCCTATTGCATAGATTTGTCTCCCTTTGATTATTTTCTAAATTAAAGTTGCAACTAAAAGGACCCTTTTTTAAAACGATATTGATGACGTCCAAAGGGCCGTAACATCGACATTAAAGGCCATAACAACAGAAGAACTACACATGTCGTTCCAGTGTTTGTTAAATCGTGTCACTTACTGTATCAATGCACAAAAGGCTTTCTTTGAATAAGATACAAGTTCTATCTTCAACTGTTGATTATTTTAATTTTTACAGAATCAGTCACATTACTTAATTGTCGGACCTTGTAGGTTATCTGTCAGTGAGACTATTTACAAGAACGGAAAGGAAAGCATGAATGGGGCAGATATACGCATTCCATACCTTTTAGGATGAAATTTTTCGTTATTTGAAGCCCTACTCTGGCTCTTGCCGGCGGCCGCAATATAGCCTGTCCATAAATATGGCCTAAGGGCTGAACGCGGTGATCCTCACCCGCATGGTGGAACTTTGTGTCATCGGGTGTTTATAGCTTGTGTGATGTCCTTGTGGGGTAGAAAGTCAGTCAGTCTGTCAATGGGACAGATTAGGTCTGAGTGGGAGAGCGATAGACAGACGGGAAGGAGACGAGAAACAGATAAACAAATAGAGTAAGAAGGAGAGAAAATTAGGAAGAAAGAAACAATACAAGAAACGATTAGACGAAATGGTAGATATTCGAAAAGATTCACACATTGTGTGTGTTGTGTGTGTGTGTGTGTGTGTGAGAGAGAGAGAGAGAAAGAGAGAGAGGGTGGACGGAGGACAAAGACATTACACACACACACACACACACACACACACACACACATATATGTATACATTTAAATTCCCACTATCTCTGACTATTTTAATGGCTCTGTCTTTTTCTATATCTGTCAATATCACTATCTATAGCTTCCCTTTCCGTCTCTTTCTACCTTTTTTTTTAAAACATTTCTCGGTACAATAATTTCAACTCACCCCAAGCAAATGGAACATTGAATTCCCCAGTGAAGTCCATCTAGGGGTGTTCTATTTGTATAGGGTGACATAAAAATATTGTAGCCTTTTCTCAATCTCTCATTCGTATTCTCTCCCCACTGACTTTCTTCTGTATGTCACTAAATGCCCATTTATATTTCTTGTTTCCTCTACCTCTCATTCTTTATATCCATCTGTTATGTATCTTTCTTGTTTTTCTTTTTCTTCTTCTGCGTTTGTCCGAAGATGTAATTGAGCTGCGTCCGTTTACAGCATGGCTGCGATTTTTGCACCTTTCGACTAACACATCTGACTTCTGCGGGCATTTGTTGACCGGGATAGCCTAACCAGTGTATCTTTCCAAATCTCTC